GCAGGAGGGGGAACAACTGAGGGACAGTGGCTTGCCTTCAGCCACTGAGTGAGGTTATGGCAGCGGTGACATTTGAACCAGGTACTTTCCACTATACAAGTGTTTTTCATACATTTCTATCCTCCCATGCTATAACAGTTTACTGGCTTACAAGCAGTGGAACATGAGGAGCATGCTAGAGAGCAGTCCTTTTGTAACACATCTGCAGTGTAACCCTAAATAGAACTATACCTTTCTAAGACCATTGAAGTTAACAGGCTTAGAAGGGTACAGCTCAGCTTAGAACTGCACTGCTGGGCACTTTGGGCTGAAATAGTCAATGGTGTGCCCTGCCCCCATTTAGGAGAAAAATAAAGCAAAAAAAGAACAGTAGTTTAAATAACTGGCAATTTGAATGGCATCCAAAATTTGCCATCTCCCTCTGCTAAGGCCAGCCTTGAACCTTACATGCTCAGACCAAATATGCTGTCCTGAGATCACTCTTTCTTACCTGCTGTGGAGCTCCCTCCACTCCTTAAAAAAAAGAATGTCCACTAAGCATCTACCGAAAAAATGCTTTTTCATTTTTCTCTGACCCCATGCCCTAAGGTTAGCTTGTTGGAGTCTCTTGTTTTATGCACTCAAGTGACCTAATGATGGGAATGCATAATTCCCTTTTCTCACAAGCCCGAAGTGAGAACATCATAAAAGCTGAACTTTAGCCTCATTTTTTTGGGGGGGGGAGATGCTGTTGCTCCCTGGAGGCTGAAGCGCTGAAAAATATCACCTGGCTGTAGCAAAAAAGGTCAGCAGCTTCTTAGGATCACATCTCTTGTTTTGTTCAGTTTCCCCTCCTCTGCCAAGGTCAAACACTTCAACATTCTTTACACCCCCTCCTTGCTTCTCAGAAATGCAGGAAGGAAGGACTTGGGAGGGGAGGAAAGATCTAGCTATTTCGTAAGTTAAGGAATATATGTAAACACAGTGATGCACCATATATTGGGGCTGTTACTCCATTAAAAAGATCTTAGTTGATTGGCTAGAATTAATATGATTAGTCAATTGTTCAATTAAATGTACATGAGAGGAGGAAAAAAGTGCTAAAAAAACAGAACATAAGATACAGGATACACAGAAGAAATATTTGTTCACACAGTGTACAATTAATTTATTGCATTTTTTGCTCCAAGATGCAGTGATTGCCAGTAGCACAGGTAATTTTAAAAAGGATTAAACAAACCCGTAGAGGATGAGAGGTCCATCAGTTGTTATTAGTAATGATAGCTACATGGAACCTCCATGTTTAGAGGCAGTGTATCTCTAAGTGTAAGTTTCTGGAGATTATCTAGCCCAGCCTCTGCTCTTCATTTCCAGGACTTCCAAGGCCATTGTGTGAAACATTGTGTGAAACAGACAAGATGGACCTTTGGTCTGATCCAGCTGGGCTGCCTTTACTTTCTTATGACTAAATGTTACAGCTTCTGTCAATCTGTACAAATATTTATATACACAAATATATACACAAATAGAGTGTAAACCCACCTGCAACTCATACCATCTTGACTCATTCAACATACAATTGCTTACTGATAATGTGGGAAAGACACTCAGCTTATGCAGCAGACTCTACTACTCCCAACATGTCCAAGAGCAAGATCTGAAAAACCCTACAAGCCTGAGATTAGAAAAGTTCCACACCCATGTAGCAGGGCTGCTGAGAGTGCCACCACAGCAGGTCCTCCTTGTGGGCCCCTTCCATAACACAGTAACAAAATAATCTCAAAGACATTTGGCTGACTACTTTTAGCAACAGAATGCTGGACCAGAAAGACTTTGCTCTGGATCCAGCAAGATAAAATATAGGGTTAGATACATTTAGGTCGGCCAGGAGTATAAATGGCAATTAGCACCAGGAATTAAAGCCCATGTACAAAGAGATTGTATTAGATGGTACAGCGCAGGGATCCCCAACCTTTTTGAGCCTCTGGGCACATTTGGAATTCTGATATGGCATGGTGGGTACGGCAACAAAATGGATGACACAAAATGGCTGCTGCAGGAGGCAAAGCCAGGCACAAAATGATTGCCACAACTTAACTTCAGTAATACATTGTAAATCCTGGTGCTGTGGTGGCAGCTGCTGCCAAAGCAACATTTAAAATAGTCTGCACAGCCAATCAGATCTCCAGTAGTCAATCAGAAGCCTTATTGGACCAAAGCCCTACCTGTTCCCACCCATTTCCTAAAAACACTTGGTAGGCACCAAAAATGGTCTCAGTGGGCACTATGTGCCCACAGGCACCACGTTGGGGACCCTTGGTATAGTGTTCGGAGCTTCAGACTATGATCAGGAAGACCCAGGTTTGAATCAACATTCTGCCATGGAAACTTGCTGGGCGACACTGGGCCAGCCTAACCTATGCCACGCGGTTGTTGTGAGGATACAACAGAAGCAAGGAGAATGATGTAAGCTGCTCTGAGTACTCACTGAGGAGAAAGGCAGAATATAAACGTAAATAATCCTGTCACTCATGCTCTAGCAACTTCCAGGTTAGGGTACCAAAATGATATGTATGCAGGCCTTTGAAATGTACTTGGAAACTATGAACAATCCCTCATTTACTGATTGATTTAGATTGATTTGTACCCACTTTTCTCCCCAGTAGGAACCCAAAGCAGGCCATCAGTTTTTATCCTCACAACAGTAACCCTGTGAAGCTGAGTGAGACTGACTGCTCCAAGGTCACTCAGCAAACTTCCATGGCTCAGCAAAGATTCAAACCGGAGTCTCCCAGGCACTTGATCAATACTAGGCAGGTTGTTCAGAAGCTCAAGCTACATGGACCACACAATTCCAGTTTGGAAATGGTCCACCAGTTTCCAGCTAGGTTTCTGAGCCCCATTCAAGGTGCTGGTTTTGATCTTTAAAGCCACAAATGGGCTGAGACAAAGATAGCTCATGGATTACCTCCTCTGGTACAAATCAACTTGAACACTCTGGGTTTTGGGTCCTGATCCATGTGTCCCCAACAGTTAGAAGTACGGTGGGCTGCCATGAAAGACAGGGCATTTTCAGCAGTGGCCACAAAGTTGTGAAATGCCCTCCCTAGAGAAATTTGTCTGGTTCCCCAATTTTTATTTTAGAACACCTGTGAAAGTCATTTCAGTTTGGCAGGCTTAATTTTAGCAGAGGTACAATTGTTGGGGGGGGGGTTTCATTGACTTTTTAATAGTTCACTTTTTTGTCTTTCTATGGTTTTAGACGAGGTGAATGCCACATTCAGGGTTGATCAATGTTTTAAAGGAGAATCCGAATCTAATAAGTAAATAAATAAATAAATAAATAAATAAAGCATCTCACTGCATACCAGATACTGCAGAACAAGCAATGGAGGGAGGCTCTGGACTTTGTACCCTGCTTGTGAGACTCCCAAAAGTGCTTGACCAAAGTTGGAAGCAGGATGCTAGACCAGATGATCTGATCCTGCAGGGCTCTTCTAATGTTCATTCTCCTTTGGCATCTTCAGGTTTAAACTACACTGCAATTCACAGACTCTTCTCTAGACCCAGCAACCATTTCCTCGGTTCCTTCTTCCCATTAGCCGCATGGCTTCACTTCCTGTATCTGCTTCTTCAACCTAGACAACATTTCTGGAGCTGACCTGGGCTTAATTCTTAGCTTACAATTACTCTGTGTCCCAGAGTTGAAGGATGTGCTCTCACTGGAAAAGAACCAGCCCTGTGATGATCCAGGTCCTTCTGCTTCAACACTTGCATTGCAGACTCCCTACCTTCTGTAACAGCCATTATAGCTATTGCAGTTAGAAAGGTGGAGGGGGAAGTAGATTGCTGGGATCCATTCAAAGTTCTGCTCCCTTCCCCACAGAGGATAACTGCAAGAGGACACAGGACCTTTCCAGTGTCCGACTATGTGAATTAAATTATGGTACAATTGGCATACTGCAACCTCTTAGTACAGGCACTTGCCAGGGTGACACCCTGCCCCCAACCAGCAACTGTTACAAAGAGAAGGAAAAGGAGATGCCAGCTGATATAGAACTTTAAGACTGCCTGACCCCATGCCCAGCTGATTGAGGGCTCAGGAGCCCCTTAACGTCACACAACCAGGGGGAAGGCAGCCTATGCCAGCCCAAGCAAGAACTAACAATGGCCACTCCTGACCAACTGCAGGGATGGTTCTTCCTATAAGGGGTAGGGAGTGGGAAAGAGCATGTGTGGAAGGACACAGGCCAACAGGGAAGAACTGCTTTCTCACTCCTGAGCTCAGAGGAGGAGAGGAGGGGAGAGGAGGAAGATTCAAAGACTCCTTCAACTCCCTTCCCTCTCACACCATAGCCTTGGGGGCAGCTTGCTTGGTGACCTATGATATGGAGGGAGGGGTGACCAGACCTGCTCACTCCCCATGGTGCCATTACCTCTTCCATTATCATGGCTGATACCACCACCTTCATCCCAGCTGCTATTGTTCTAACTCCTTCTCCAGTGCTTGCATGTTAGGTGCTGAACATAGATAAAATACAGTATTTACTCAAATGCAAGCACAGTTTTCTCAGGTACACGCATGTTAGGTGCTGAACATAGATAAAATATTACTCAAATGCAAGCGCAGTTTTCTCAGGTACATCATCAAAAAAAGAGGGTGGGCACCTTACATTTGCATATGAACTTGAATTGTGTTGAATAATAAATTTGGCAGGGTGCTGGATGTGTATAACATTTTTAAGGGGGTCATCTTACATTCAGGGTCATCTTCCTTTTAAATCAATAAGGTAGTGGGGGAGGGGGCTTTTTCCCACTGGAAAACTCCATTGCTCAGCTACAGCAGGGGACTCCATGCTGCAAAGGGCTCAGCTTCACTGTGAATCCAGCCCCACTTAGTCCAGCACCTGATTGTGTGAGTTTTTTCCACAGCAGCCTCATTAAAGAAAAACAAACCACATCTCTGACAGAATGGGGGGGGGGAGAAACAGGTAAAGGCTTCAAAATGGCAGGAACCTCACCTTCAAAGCCGTCACCTGGGCTGCTGTCCTTGAGCATCCTGCCTTGGTGAACAGCAGAAACAGGCACTAAGCTTAACTGTTGGAGGCTGACAGTCTCGGTTCTGAAAAGACAGAAAAAAATTCGTCACAAACATTGTTCTGAAAACTGTGCATTACAAGAACGGACCCGTTGAGACCAATTCAATGATCCGTCTAGGTCAACACAGTGCCTGCCAACAGCAGTCAACCAGAAGCCCCAGGGAGACTCACAGTAGCGAGCCACAATTGGAATATCCGTCTGCCATTGTTAATCTGCTGCATCTGACAGCCAAATTCCACAGTCAGGAACAGATTCCATTGCTGATTGTCTTGGGCAGTTGCCATCTGTGACCCTCTCTTGTCTGTATTAATTATTATGTGTAAAAACACAGAGAACTGCCCCACTGGATCCAACCAAGGAGCCACCTCGCCCAGCATCCTGCTTCCAACAATGGCCAGGCAGATGCCTGCAGGAAGTCGGGCACAAAAGGTATCGATAGCCCTTGTCATTTCTCTTGTACTTTGAGGAATATTGTCTCTAAACATGAAGACAGCTGTTCTGGGTGAAGAGCTTTTCTCTTCGAAACTCTAAGCACTTTTCACCCAAGGCTACTGCGGCAGATTGGGGTGGCACAAGTGATCACTAATATCTTTTTGGCGGGAAACAGCCCCCTATTCAGTAGAGTGCCACTGTATTCTTGATGGTAGCATGCACTGGTTTTGGGATTGAGGACTATGTCCATACCACACTTCCCACTCATACCACCAAGCACAGCTGAAAAAGAGGCCAAAGAAATATGTATTGACTGGCCTGACGGAGCTTGGCACTATTTACAGCTAGCCATCTCTGAGGTAAATTGTGATATAGCTTCTGAGACACACACACTGACTTTACTTGGTAAAAAAACAACAACCCTGGTTGACCTTGTCTGCTGTGGAATTATCGTGAAGGAAAACAGAGATGTCTTTTACAGACCTCAGCCTGCCCTATGGCTTTCAAATATCCCAGAAAGACTAGGTAAGAGAACTGTAAAGGAGGCTGTCCTGACCCTGAGATTTCTGGTCACCACACCTTAAAAAGAATATTATAGCTTTGGAAAAAGTGCAGAAAAGGGCAACTCGAATGATAAAAGGGTTGGAACACTTTCCCTATGAAGAAAGGTTAAAATGCTTGGGGCTCTTTAGCTTGGAGAAACGACGGCTGAGGGGTGACATGATCGAAGTTTATAAGATTATACATGGGATAGAGCAGGTTGAGAAAGAAGTACTTTTCTCCCTTTCTCACAATACAAGAACTTGTGGGCACTCAATGAAATTGCTGAGCAGTTGGGTTAGCCAATCATCCAAGAGCTTACAGTAGCCCCTGTAAGAAGAGCTCTGTAAATTCTTGGAGGATTGGCTACATTAGGAGTGTGTCACCTAATATGCAAAGGAGTTCCTGCTACAAAAAGAGCCCATTATATCACAAAACATTCTCTGTTGGTCAAGACTTCGGTCATATAGACCCATAATAAATTGAACTGAACTGTATATCACAAAACCAAACAGGTTCCCAAGATTCATGATACTGTAGGTAGTGTGGGTCTCCTCAGTTTTATGAAAAAACCTGTCACAAGAACCTTAAACCAGTGCTGACCACTCCAGGCTACCACACTAAACAGTAATCCCCCCCCCCCGAAGAGAAAACTGAAATTCCTTAAAAGAGGTCTAAACACAAACTGAACAGAAATCAATCAAATGGCTCTTTTCCCCTCTAGGATAGCTGTGTTAGTCTATTGCAGCAAAACAAAATAAGCCCAGCGACAAGACAAAGACTAAGAATATTTATTCCAGTATAAGATTTCATGAAATAGGGTTCATTTCTTCAGATAAAATAGAAGAAAGAAACCTCAGTTTTGTAGAAAATTACAGAAAGGGAGGGGGAAAGGGAGGAGTAAAGCAGAGAAAGGCCTCATATAATTAATCAGGTGAGCTTTGCTCTGTGGGGACTTGAACCATGGGTTTGCCAACTTCCAGGTGGGGCCTGGAGACCTCCTGGAATTGTAACCGATCTCCAGGCAACAGAGATCTGCTTTGGAAGGAGAACTCTGTGACATTATACCCTGGTGAGGACCCTCTCCTCCCCAAACCTGGCCCTCCCCAGGTTCCACTCCCAAATCTCCAGGAATTTCCCAACTGAAAATGGCAACCCTAGCCATCATCCAATAAACTACCCAAGCAGTTCAAGTCCCTACTGAGAAAATCTCACCTGTTTTATTATACTAAGCCTCCTCCCTTTCCCCCTTCCTTTCTGTAATTTTCTGTAAAACTGAGGTTAAGGGGTTTATTTTTCCTATTGTATCCAAAGAAGTGAGCTTTGTCTTACAAAAGCTCACACTGGAATAAATGTTCTTAGTCTTTAAGGTGCCATTGGACTTGTTTTTTCCGCTGCCCACTCCCCCCTCCAAAAGTTCTTTGAGCCCTTGTTGGCCATTTTGGCTTTCTATACCAGACCACCAGGGCACAAAGAGGATTTGGCAGATATGAAAAAGGGGATGGACTTGGCTCCATCCATCACAGCTAACAACCTCAAATAAGGGGAACTAACACTGATCAGCTCAAGAATAACAGCACATTTTGAGCTGATTAATTGCATTCATTTTTGAGATGCTGCTCTTATATATTTTTTTTTAATGTCACTTTTGAGCACTTTTTAAAACCTAAAATAACTGGCCTGGTTAACCCACACAGGATTTTGTGTGTGGTACGTTTCAGCTCTGAAAACTCCTTAGCATGAACATTTCATTGTAAACAGGACACCGCTACAGCAAAGGGCCAGTTTGGTGTAGTGGTTAGGAGCGCGGACTCTAATCTGGGAGAACCAATCTCTCCTTCTCTTCTTCTTCTTACTGTGCTGGTTTTCTACTTCTGGGGGTTTTAATATTTTATACTGTGCTATTACAGGTGAGCTCTACAGCAGTTCTCCTGTTTCTGATTGAGCAAGATGTTGTGCAACACCTTACATGGGCAGAACCGCCTGCAGTAGGGTTGCTAGCTCTGGGTTGGGAAGTACCTGGGGATTTGGGGGGGGTGGAGCCTGGGGAGGGGAGGGACCTCAGTGGGGTATAAGGCCATAGAGTCCACCCTCCAAAACAGCCATTTTCTCCAGGGGAACTGACCTCGACTGCCAGTTCAGCTGTAATAGTGCGAACTCTCCAGGTGCCACCTGAAGGCTGGCAACCCTAGCCTGCAGCCTGAAATGATGCTGTTCATTTTGCGGTCACAGATTTATGCCACCTTGTTACCCTGGGGGTCTGAAAAATCCAAGCAGGTAAATCAATGGACATTTTAGCTTGAGGAGGAGGATTAACTAGCAGCAGATATGACAGAGAGCTATACAATTACGAGTATTGTGGAGAAAGTGGATGAGAGGGAATTTTTCTCCCTCTCTTATAATACTAGAACTTGATGTTATTCAATAAAACTGGTTTACAGCAAGTTTAGGAGAAACTACAGCAAGTACTTCATGCTACACTTGATTAATGTAGAACTCACTGCAGCAACTGCTAGCTTAGATGGTTTCGAAACTGAATTCGATCAATTCATGGATGATAGCCCATCAGTGGCTATTTAGCTATCATGGCTAAATTGACCTTCCATGTTCACAGGTAGTATATATCTTTTAATGCCAGTTGCTGGGGAACAGCAACAGGCATTGACCTCTACGTCCCTGCTTGTGAAGTGTCCAGGGTATCTAGCTGGCCACAGTGGGAAAATAAACACTGGACAAAATGGACTTGTGTTCTGATCCAGCAGGCTCTTCTCACTTCCTTAACGTGCAGAATTCACTGCTACAAGATGTGCTGTTATCCACTAGCAGACATAGCTTTCAAATAGGATGAAGTGAATTCACAGATGATAGACCAGCTACGACAACTTAATGAAACCTCCATGTTCAGAGGCAGTATATTTCCAAACATATTTCCAAACACCAGATGCTGGAATCAGGGAGGGCTGTTGCCTTGGGTGCCACTGTTGGAAACAGAGCATTGGCTTTTGACAGGCCTTTGGTCTGATCCCACAAGGCACATCTTATGTTTCAAGGAGGCTACAAACCACGGGCCTCTGGTCCTGCTGCTTTCCCATCAGGCACAGCCAATCCCTTGGCACAGACTCCTTTGGAAATGTTGAGTGGAGAGAAGGAAAAGAGGCCAGCCGAGGCTCACAGCGGGGCTGCCAAGTCAAAGGATGTCTCTTAGTGTCCAAGGCAGCTGTTTCACACTCTTTGTTAACACAGCCGAAGGAAGTCTTTGGCCTCCACAGGCTCCAACGCTCTCTTGATGGATGCTTGCCCCCCACTTGCGAAGAGGAAGGCAGGCAGATAGCAAGCCCCAGTAAGCTAGCCTTGGGCACCCTCTACTGGCAAGCTCCCTGCCTTCCCTCCTTCTGGGAAATTTAAGGGTTAAATTCTTTAAAACAGAGGTGCCACAGATGAAGGCTGGTTTGGAAACCGTTCACGTAACCTGGGGGAATGAGAAGAGGGTAATGCTGCTTATGCTCAAGACACTCTCTCTTTTGAGCTATGGACCTGGATCTGAACACAAATTACATCAGGCTTTCATTATTTTCTTTTCTTTAAACAACAGGACTTTTATGCTTACAGCTGTAGATATGACCCTGAAAGTTTACATATCTTTGGTCATGAAGACAGCAACACCTGCTCAAATCCTAGTATCCAATCCATTTCTTGTATGCAATACAGGTGAGCCAAAAGCCATAAGCATGTAATGATCTGTACATTTATCCAATCCTCACATAAATCGGTTTTTCAGGATACAGTTTTTGCTGTAACTTTGCAGGAAGGGGGACAGCTAGCAACAAATGCAAGGGGAGAGGAAATGAAGAACTTGGAGGATTGTTACAATGTTTGTATTCCTAATTTTCCAAAACACTCTTCCCCTGAACCTCCATGCTAACTCATCAAACATGTGCACAAGACATTGTGTCACAAGAGCACAGCGTGACATAGAAGAGGAATTCCATTGCGGGTAACTAAATTCACTTACACTCCTGCAGATCACAAACTACCTTTGCAGCAAGGAAT